GTCGTAGATGTCTATGGGCTCCAGTAACTACTTAACACCAGGTGGGCTGTGAGTTCCTCCACACATCTAAGCAATAAAAAAATTAAAAAACCTCAGTGGTATACAGCGGCCTGACTTAGCAGTTCCATTGGTATAATGAGCGAAAGCGATCATTCACAATCAATTAGGCTATACGCTCGTGTCTACTACATCAAAGGCAACAAAAAACAACAAAGCATAAAATTGTTGTAAACAACTTGTTTCTCGATGAGTTGTTGATTCATGTTTCCAATCAGGTAGAAAACCAATACTCATTAAAACTATGTACGAGAGGTTCATTAGCGTTGACTGAAAGCGTGTATTGCGCATGTGCACACACATACAATATTTTTGTTAATGATGTTTGGATTGAATAGGAATGTTGGTGTTCGTTTTTTTAGATAGTGCCGACTTTTTTTTTTAACGAAGTTCCTTATTGGGCGATGCGGAGGGATACCCTAACCGGGAAAAAACGTCAGTAACGTAAGATTTTTATTAGTAACTAGCAACCCGCCCTCGCTTCGCTTCGGAAACATTAAAACACACATGAAACAAAAAAAAAATAAAAAAAATAAAAAAGTAGCCTATGTTCATCAGGGACAATGTCGGCTTCTAATGGAAAAAGAATTTTTCAAATCGGTCCAGTAGTTTCGGAGCCTATTCGAAACAAACAAACAAACAAATCTTTCCTCTTTATAATATTAGTATAGATGAACAGAGTGTACGACTTAACTTTGTAATAACATACAAATTAGTAATGCACACAGTGTGCGACTTAACTTTGTAATAACATACAAAAAATAACATATTTTTTTATCATTCATTGACCACGATCTCAGAGTGTTCGTTTGCGCAATACACTAACTAACGCTTATGCAAACAACCCTGAATGAAGTGTACCACAATAAGTTCGCACGCTACCGAATGACCGTGGGATGTTGCGAAACCACCAGTTTTATTTTCTTTATACCTCGAATAGAACTTAAAATTAATATTTTTATAATAAGGAACTTCGTTCCTATCCGGTGTCACACGACACCACACATCTTTCTTTTTTTAAGGTTAGAGGTCATCAATTCGTCAAAGTTTTTTCATATATTTCAGAGCTATATTGTAACATTTATAGCAACATTTTCACATCGTAAAATTATAGCTTAGCGATCAAAATGAACGAACCATAGACATTTCGGATTCGCTCTCAACAATACGGCTTAAATGTTCAAGATGTAATCCAATTAGGAGCCTTCCGGGCTACGTTTGCATGATTTTGCATTTTTTTAATGAGACTTGTACTTCGTCAGAAAATTACCCGACAACGTCTTCGGTTGTTTGATTCATTGAAACAGGCAACAGTGAGTTATAAACCCTTATATCAGGTTGTATGCTCACTTGGTTTTTTGGTGGTAGGACCTCTTGTAAGTCCGCACGGGTAGGTACCACCACCCTGCCTATTTCTGTCGTGAAGCAGTAATGCGTTTCGGCTTGAAGGGTGGGGCAGCCCTTGTAACCATACTGAGATCTTAGGACTTATATCTCAAGGCGGATGTCGCATTTACGTTGTAGATGCCTATGGGCTTCAGTGACCACTTAACACCAAGTGGGCTGTGAGCTCGTCCACCCATCTAAGCAATAAAAAAAATGATATTATTAAATGTTTATAGAATCGAGAGGTAATTAGGTAAGTTACTTCATCGTCCATTGCTGCAGATCATCTCCATTGCTTCGTTGCAAGATAGCCAGGATTATATATAAACGCGCGGGCAAACAATACGCTCTATCCCCAATAAATAAAACTGACTGACAACACATACTCCTGAAAGCTACAGATGTGGTTATCCTGTTCATAATACTCACCCGAAGCACTAGTATGTATTTCCAGAGGATTATTTAATACTCGAATAATTCCTGTCTTGATTACCTAATCTAAGGCCTACATTCGTACAGGCGTTCCCGAGGGCATTCGACCTTAGTCTGGCACCTCGTAATATTGCAAACACAATGAGACTACAGTATTAAATATTGTACTCATATCATCGAGAGATAAGTTTAGGGCAGAGAAAAAAAATGTTCAGTTAAAAGAAAGCACGCTTTAGAATACTAATACATAAGTTGAAAGGGTAGCAAACAAGGTTTTATATTACAAAGTATCAGTTTTCACATCAGCTCAGGTTCATGCTCTGAGGAATTGTTTGAGATGATTCCACCATGTCGTTTTTACCACCGCACCGCACGCCACCGGAGCTAGAGTTCATCCATACTACCAAGAGCCACTGTTTTCATCCCCAGTGCGTTTCCAGAGATTTTTGTCCACTTACCATCTGGCTTTGGAATGAGCTCTACGAGCTTTCCCGAGCGCTATGAGTTGTACTTCTATGAGGTTTGTGGAGAGTACTTAACGGTAGACAGCCGCTCAGCTCTGCCCCTGGCATTGCTGACATCCATGGGCGACGGTAACCACTCACCATCAGATTGACTGTATGCTCGTCTGATTAGGGCAAGGGCAATAAGAAAAAATAGTTGGTGGAAAATCGTCATGAAATTGCACACAATTAGACAAAATGATAACGCAAGAGTCGTCACAGATGCATAATATGTATCTAAAAATACAATTACTGAACATTGATATATACATAGTTCACACATTTATAATTAAATCTACTATCAATCATGCGGGCCTTAGGTCAGTAATGTAATCATAATATAATTAAGTCAAATAATAGATGCATCATAGAGAACGTAAATGCTTACTGCTTTTGTAAAACAATAGATTAAAAAAGAGAAGAAAAAAAGCTTAATAAATATTAAATTATTCATTATGGAACACCGGTAAACATTTTAGCTGTAGATTGCAAGAATAAACAAAAAAATTCTTTCAAGAATTTCGTAAAAGCCCACCCAATAAAGTATTCCATCGTTTCAAAGTAGATTAAGGTGTTGTGTAGACCGAATAATAATTTCATGGATAGACGCCTTTCTCGATTCATTTTTAATATTCATCATCTCCCGAGAATCATTTACTCTGTGTACAAAAGTGCTACAATCGAAGAAAAATGTAATTGATGATTGGCATTTAGTATTTTTCAAATAAGGCTCGAAAAGATTAAATGCTTGATGATAAAAGATTTGTTTAATTGCTTGAATTTAAATCAGCAGACACGAGTTATCAAAACATCGCAAAACAATGAAATGTTCAACACATTATGAAATATATTTCAAAGATGAAAATCTAAACTAATGATAGGAATGTAAAATTTAAATTAATGTCGTAGTCCGCGGTTAGTGTTACAGCTAGCGTCCTGTAGACGGCAAGCCAGCCAGTTTCCAATGCAAAATTCCTTATTTGAAATTCAAAACAGCGAACATTCTCGAACGTCCGCCATGATTCTTCCCGTAAAATAAAATAACTTAGTAACAACATCGTAGTCTGAATGCCAATTGTGTTGACAGTAGGTGTCAGCGGTTTTGTCGAAGCTTCATTGACCTAAATTTGTTGGGATGTAATTCTTTTATCGACCAGTGATTGAAATGAAACCTTATTTATCAATATTTTTTTTACACTTGGTAAAGCGGTTTATTTACATTACTACTCGTTGACATGTCTAAGAAAAGTTTTATTTAGTATTCGAGCTCGGATTTTTTTTTTAATGGCGATTTTAGTAAAATGTTGTTAATTTTAACATGGTTAAAATATTTTTATGTTATATTTCAGCTAATTTTGATAGAAAACATATTGAAGTTTATCCCAAATTGAATAGAATGCTAGGCATTTCAATTGGACTTCATTAGTGACATTTCATTAGAGGCTAAACAAAAAAAAAAGGCGACGAGTTGTGGAAACTTTAATACCTCCGCATAGTGATCTAAGGCTTTGTGATTCAGTCGGTATGCAAATGGTGAGGCAGTTTGACGGGTCGCATTTATCAGTAGTTGCCAGTCATGCGTCGCCTTACTGCTTTGTGACCTAATTTCACGTCAATTCACACGCTTTTAATGTGACGTTCTCGCATTTCATGATTTAGTGTTACCAATTCAGTATTCCGTTTACAGTATTGTAATTTTAATGTTGATGTATGTATGTATCTATAGTTTTATTTATGTTTCAAAAAATATCTAGTACACGATTTGGAAATATTTATTCGTTACATCACCGATTACCGTTTTCATGGATGAAAATCATAATTTTCTTGGGTATAATAATCTCTATATATTAAAAATGAATTGCTGTTCGTTAGTCTCCCTAAAACTCGAGAACGGCTGGACCGATTTGGGTAATTTTGGTCTTGAATTATTCGTGGAAGTCCAGGGAAGGTTTAAAAGGTGAGAAAATATAAAAAAGCTCGGAATTATATAAAAACAAACAATTTTGTTTTTCGTTTGATGTGTCCCCTTGATGTGTCTTTTATTTATCGATTGAGGCACTACGAAGTCTGCCAGGTCAGCTAGGAGTATAATAATACCAAAATATACCCGTAGCTTTTACGCATATCAAAACTAAATTGTTTAATGTATAATAAAAATTAATGTATAATAATGCATTAATTATTGAGTAAGCGATGTTCACACCATAACGTCCATGTTGAAATAGTCCTGGAACCGAAGTTTTATTTGTATTGTATAACTGCTATAATTCAAACCAGAATGTACCACTAAACTAGATACATATTTAAAATTTGATGTCTAGTATAGATTTGAAAAAGTTATGTTAATTCGATAATTTTTTTTATTGTTTAGATGGGTGGACGAGCTTACAGTCCACCTGGTGTTAAGTGGTTACTGGAGCGCATAGACATCTACAACGTAAATGCGCCACCCACCTTGAGATAAAAGTTATAAGGTCTCAGTATAGTTACAACGGCTGCTCCACCCTTCAAACCGAAACGCATTACTGCTTCACGGCAGAAATAGGTGGGGTGGTGGTATCTGCTCGTGCGGACTCAAAAGAGGTCATACCACCAGTAAAAAAAACAAAAAAATTCACTGACCGATATCAGCCGCGGCGTGCAGGAGGTCGGCCAGCAGTTCGGGCTCGTGGCAGGCGATGGCCAGACGCTCGTCGTGGAGTCGCGCTGCATCAAGCTCGCCCGGGGCCGCCTCTCGCAGCTGCAGCGCCACAGCACCCTCGCCGCCGACCGCTGCGCTGTACATCAACACGGCACGCGGCGAGAACCTCGGCAACGGCAGCCGCGATGTTTGCACCTGAACGAAAAATGCCCGTTCAATCATCAAAGAATGTTTTTTGAAGTGAAATTTCTTTAAGCGCCTTGTGAGTGAAATTTAACTCGTGACAGATTCGTTACGGCTAGAGAGAAAAGATACAATTCAGGAAGAGCGTGAGTGAGAAAAGAGACATAGCGTCTCGCGAACCACTCGACCGTGGAGAGAGGGAAGGGACAAAGCGAGCTAGGTCGTTTCTCTTATACACAGCATTCCACAAGATAAATTTGATTTAAGGATGAAAAATGAAGAAAACTACAAATTAGCAACGTAAATGCCGCCACCCATCTAGAGACATGAGTTCTAAGTCTTAGTTTGATAGTATAACGACTAACCCACTCTTCAAACCGAAACGCATATTGCGTCACGGCAGACATAGGCTGAGTGGTGGCACCTACCACCCATACGGTTTAGAAACACGCCCTATCACTTCTATAAGTTATTACCATATCTTATACCTTTAAACGAGTAATTCTTGTATGTATATATGTATATAATCTGAATCTCGGAAACGGCTCCAACGATTTTCATAAAATTTAGTATACAGGGGATACCGGGGGCGATAAATCGATCTAGCTACGATTTATTTTTAGAAAATGTTGTTTTTTTCGTGTTTTCAATAATCAACTCTTCCCGACATCTATTGGCGAATAATAATACTATTTTTCTTAATTGAGGGCAACTAACCGCTATAAAGACACAGCAAGATGGCGTTATCAAAAAAAAAAACGAGCAAAGCTCGGTCATCATCTAGTATATCCCTATCATCGACAGGACTATGAACAGGATCGGGGTTCGACAGAGTAATCACTAGATCTAACAGGAAATTTCAGAAGCGCCAATAGTTGTTGCTGATTTAATGTTTATTTTATGTGTTTAGGAGTTGGATAAGAAATTACATAAAACTACGAACTTTGGGATCTTTCGTTTTTGATATTAAATAGTTTTTACAACTTCGTTTTAAACCCATGTGCTGCAGAGATTGATTTATTGTTTTAAAATGTGTTTAATGCGAAATTGAACATCTTCATGCTCTTAAAAAGAGTTCGTAATTTCAAAGATAAATGTAATGTATTTTTATTAAAAACAGCACGAAGGTTGACCGCCTCAAGCAGTGAACGCGACGAACGTAATGTTGAATAATAAAAGAACGAAATCTTGGAAAAATACTCGTTGAAAAAGTACGAAGGGAAAGTTTCTAAGTTTCTGTGAAAGGATCGACGGTCTAACGAAAAAGTTTCACTCACTAACCTCCTTCATAAAACTTGTATTCGCACTGTAGATAATGTTTACCTTAAGGTTGGTCAAAATCCCTTAAATATGTAGTTCCTATTGGATAAAGAATGTCCAATAGTAATAGATCTTATAAATTGGAATAAGGGAATAAATCCAACACATTTATATGCATATATATATATAAATGAGTAATATATATTTCAGCCAGATCTATTAGTAAATAAGTAAGAATTTATATTTTCTTCAATATCAGTGTTGTTACGTGTGAGCCTATAAGTTGAAAGTAAAAAGTTATAAAGTTTTTTTTAATTATCTCCATTATTGTTTTTTGGATTTATTCCCTTTTTCCAATTTGTGATTCAATTATAATCCTTTTATAAGCCTATAAAACTTTGTCCCGACTAAATTCGATGTAACCAAAATAATTTTTTTGGTCAGAAGGTCTGACGTGTAGCAGCAACCCACTATTATTTCCTTATGTAGGGGTATTTTTTTCGCAATTGCCTTCTTCTTTTCTTATTTTTCCTGCTCCTTCTATAACTTAACTAATATATTTTTGGAACGAAGCGTTCGTGCCTTTGTAGAGTAAAAAGAATTTTTAAATTCAATTGCAACTTTCACGTCTTGTCTCAAAGCGTCCTGTGGAATCTATCCGGAACATTTTAATAGCAGCAACAGATAAAGTAAAGTCATCTGCAGCAAATAAAAACCTTCAATATTCATGTACTGTTTTATTGAGTGGAATCGAATAGTAGGTAGCATATTTTAGTTCTTTTCAATACAACAAATGCGATTTAATTATTAGATAACTAGATGCTCTTTATTACTATTTACCTATTAGTTGGTGACCAAAATGTCGGTGTGTATTAGTCTAGTTCTAGAAGATTTAGAAGAGTTCCCAGTTCCTATGATTTTAAATGGTAACAGGAGAAAATAGATATGATGACATAAATACTGCTCCCCACCTTGAGACCTGATCGTAATCTTAATTGAACTGTATAATAGTTGTCTCTCTTTTCAATTTATTTCCATTGGAACACGCAATTCGCGACAGAAATATGTAGGTAGGATTGTCGAAGGCACTCAATCACTCACACACATAATCATAAAGACAAAAATAATCCTATGAATTAATAACAAATGACATTAACATTAAAACTCACTATTTTATTGGCAATATTACAAGACAATTGTAAAGTTTATTATGTCAATAATACCGAAATGGCTTCCTTTACATAACAGAACAAAGAATGCCAAATAATTAACATATTTTATTAAATAATCATATCTCATTGCTAGTTACGGACGTTTTAACATTAAATTTGAAGCTATTGAATTTATTTATTTTTCTCATATGTTTTTGTAAACTAAATTTTTTATGTTTTTACAGATCTATAGAGTTGGAAACAGAATAGAAACGCTAGAAAAGGCAATTATTTTATAAAGTATACACATCCAATTAAAAACAAAATAATTATCAAGTCGTAGTTAAGGTAAGTTATAAACAAAGTGATTTCATTTTATTCGGCCTGTGGTTTTGCTGATAATTTTTAAATGCCTTTGTAGAACAATGAACATAGTTAGTTAATCTAATGGTTGGTGCTAATCTGGTGGTGGTTGGCCAGCGTCGCTTATGGGCGTCAGCAATGCCACAGCCAAATCGTTGTTTAATCATTAGTTTATCTAGATCATAATGACTACAGACGTGTTTGTTTGAGTAAGTGATGTATTTTTCGGGGTCAAAAGCTATCCGTTATACTGTCCTGGCTCCTTCAAGCGACAGTACTAATTGATCAGTCACAAATCCGTAGCAGCGGCACCTATGTCTGTTTTACTTCCATCGTTTTAAAATAAACAAATCCTCCTCCAGAAATTGTCTTGGGGTCTTAAGTGCTTCAGAGACCGGGCGTAAATTGAAATGTGTTAGCGCATATCGCAATACAATTTTCAATTACTGCTGCATGTTTTATTTCCCGGGTCCGTTCCACCGGCGGGAGTCGCAGAAGTGGCGTAACAAATGCAATCGAACGCCACAGGGACATTTACTTACATGTACGTAATGTGATTGAAACTTAGACAAGGGAATTAAAAAAAAAATTACGTCCCAATAAAACCGGGCTCATATTATATCAATTTCAAACTAAGCGAGTAAATAAATCTATTGGCGAAACTAAAATCAGTATTGCTATCTACATTAAGTTGTTTAAAAAAAACAATGGTTTTAACTTTTTATTTCAAGTTAAACAAAGTGCATAATTATTAAAACAGCGAAATCATTAAACGCTTGAATCTTGAGAAATGAACTGTCTCAATCAACGTTTGCTTTAAGAAATATTCGATTTAATTAAGATCTTCATAAAAAAAATTAACAATAAATGCGGTTCCTGACAAATGTCCCATACAAACCAGTACCTAGTGGTCTGAAAACGTGCGTACGAATCAGTACGTACATTCAGACGTGCATTTTTTTTTTTCCACAGGAGAAAATCGCCGGATCCCCACCCGCGCGGCAGGTGGGGTATGTGGGAGTTGAACCTCACTAAAAACTCCTGCCGCTCAGTACATAGTGTGGTGACAGTGTGTACAGACAACCTTGAAAGTACTTATTCGGTGGTAAAGCGCCTTGTGAGCCTGCAAGGGTAGATAGCACCACGCTGTCTATTTCAGCAGTGAAGCAATGCGTTTCGGTGTTGACCGTTTAGGCAGCTATTGTGCTGTAAAACTAAGACAGAACTCATGTGTCAAGATGGGTGGCAGTATTTATATTTATGTCTATGGATTCCAGTTATCATGTAACACCAGGAAAGTCATGTAGTCCACCTATCTAAGCAAAAATGTATGTAATTAAAAAAAAGCGTATAATACGTAGAATCAAAAATTCCGTTCTAACATTTTAGTACTTAATTTAAATTTAAATTTCTGTTCTACACGAAATTCGGGATCTTAAAATTGTAGATTCGAAAATCTATATATTAATACGTGAAGCAAAAACTTTGTATCCCTTTTTATGAAAATTGCGCGGACTGAGGAGTATGAAATTTTCCACACTTATAGAGAATATAGAGAAGAAGTGCACAATGCTAATATTTTTTTTAAATAATGCATAAAAGATACATTAAATCAACAAAGAAAACATTACACACACTACATACCATGTATTTGACGCACACACGCATGCATACTATTTATTGTAAAACTTTTGTTCTTGACGTCTGTGGTCAAATTGAATTTGCGAAATTTGTGATTATAGTATGTGTACAAACTTACAATTCCAATTAATTATAGTCGAATTACGACTACTGTGGGACCTCTAGTTAAACATAGTTCGCTGGTAGGTTTCGGCTGAAAATTCAATGCATACTTTACAGATATTCGACATATTAATGCGTGTGTTATGTGTTCAGATACGTTATGTAAGGTTCGTTCCCATTGCAAATTACTTGTGTAGTTCAGATAGCTTTACCGAAGTTTAATTGCATCGGGAAATGGGAAGCTTTATGGTTATCAATTTGAGTATGTTTATAGTTTGGTGGGCACAAATCCGTCAAAGAGTGTGTGTTTCAATGTTATTTAATAGTTTGTTTGCTGAGTTTTAATGTAGATCGGGTAATATCGAATACTCAATTCATACAGGCTTAGAACTCATTTCCGTTGTAAGAAACAATTAATATACTTTTTTGTATTTTTGTTGTTTATTATTATTATTTAAATTGATTCTAAGGAAGTTTACAGGCTCTCTGACATTG